AGAGGGAAGGACGAGAAACAATAATTGGAAACTGATCAAAGAGAGAAGCAACCTGGAATTAAGGAGAAACTTCCTGACAATGAGGACAATCAACCAGTGGAACAGCTTGCCTCCAGAAATCATGTGCACTCCATCATTGGAGATTTTAAAGAAGAGACTAGAAAATCACCTGTCTGAGATGGTATAAGTTCTCCTGCTTGAGCAGGGAGCTGGACTAGAAGACCTCCAAGGTCCCTTCCAGTTCTATTATCCCTGATTTCTGCTTTTCTGACTTCATCTTTGCATGTTCTGTCTGCTGATAATCAGCCTTAGTTATGTTTCCCTCTTTCCATTTTTTGTACTTGTCCTTTTTGTCTTTCAGTTTGTCGGAGAGATCTTTGTGCAGCCATGCTGGTTTCTTCTTGACTTTCTTATTTTTCTTTTTCAGTGATATTGTGCTGGACTGGGCTTTTATGATAGCATTTTTCAGAGTTTCCCACACTTCTTGAGTTGTTTTCCCCTTTAGGATTTTCATCCATGTGATCTTTCCTAGGTTCTCTCTGAGTTTGTTAAAATCAGCTCTTCTGAAGTTTAAGACACTGGTTGACTTATTTCTATTGTTTGTGTTTTCATTATATTGAATTCCAGTATGATGTGGTCACTTTACCCCAAGGTTCCAGCAACTTCAACTCCCTCTATCACGTCTTCTCTATTAGTAAGAATTAGGACCAGTATAGCTTTACTTCTAGTTCCCTCCTCCATCTTTTGGATGACAAAGTTGTCAGGTTGGTTAGGAATCTGTTTGATCTCCCTCTCGATGCAGAGTTTGTCTCCCAGCTGAAATCTGGGTAGTTGAAGTCTCCCATTACTGCTGTGGTATGCTTCCTACATACATTTGTTAACTGGTTGGTAAAAAGTTCATCTATTTCTTCTGATTGATTGGGTGGCCTGTAGTATATACCTATGGCAATGTCACTTTTTCCCCTTTTATATTGACCCATATACATTCTGGAGGACTTTTATCTTTGTTCATGTGCATTTCTGTAGATATGTAGTATTCTCTTACATATAGTGTAAACCCCCCTCCTCTTTTTGTAGTTCTGTTTCTTTTGAACAATTTGTATCCATCTATCCGTCCATTCCAGTCATGGGTTTCATCCCACCAGGTGTCTGTAAAGCCAACTATGTCATACATACCCTCATGTACTATTGCTTCTAGTTCACCCTGTTTGTTCCCCAAGCTTTGAGCATTTGTATATAAGCATTTAAGACTTTTATGCCTGTCCATGGGTATGTTTCCTGGATCTCTTGATTGCTGTTTGAGGTTTTTCTTCTCATCACTCCCTACCTTATTGTTTGGTTTGTTTTCTTGGGATTTCTTAGAATCTAGAAATTCTAAAGATTGGTCACCCTTCCCCCTCAATTTTAGTTTAAAGCCCTTCTAATGAGTTGGGCCAGTCTTTTTCCGAGTACAATTTTCCATTTTTGTGAGGTGTAGACCATCCCTTGCCAAGAGTCCTTTGCATAGGAAATGCAGTCCATGGTCCAGGAAACCAAAGTTTTCTTGGCAACACCAACCTTTTAGCCAGTGGTTTATTTCCAGAGTTCTTTTTTCCCTCATTGGGTGTTGGCCTTTTGTTGGGAGTACTGATGAGAACACTTGTGCTCCTAGCTCCTTAACTTTATTGCCTAGTAGCTTATATTCTCTCAATATTGTGCTCAGGTTCTTCGTTGTATCATTCATCCCAATGCGAAGGAGGAGGAAAGGTTAGTAATCTGTGGGCCTAATTATTTTGGTTAGTTTCTCAGCCACCTCTTTGATTTTTGCTCCAGGGAGACAACATAACTCCCTGGATTATATGTCCTGTCCATAGGTGGATGATTCTGTTCCTTTGAGAATAGAATCTCCTATCACCAACACTCGCCTTTATTTTTGGGAGAGTGCAGTCTGAGGTGCTTTTCTGTTTATCTCAGGTGTGTTTGTTTATGTGATTTTTTTTAGTGATATTTATTGAACTTCTTCCCAGCCAGTTTCACCAGGTTCCAAGGCTGTCACAACCTGAGTGTGAACTTTTATCTGTCTAGCACCCAATGTTCTCAAAACATCTTCTTGGCACCGTATTGGCTACCGATGGGCTGGGATTGGGAAACTGAAAGAATTGTTTTCTGCTTTGCACGGGATCTTCAGATTCTGCCTGACTTTACTGCATCCAGTTTCTTTCAGTAAAAGTTCTTTGGATTTAACTCAATGGATTCAAGAGTCTTACTTTCCTGAGAGGGCCAACTGGAGCAGGTCTGACATGGAAAATTTGGGTTCAATTGTGGTCGTAAGTCGAGACCTACCTGTATTTCATTTTCTCTGAAGTATATTTTTCTTCTGCAGGTCACTATTTTGTAATAGTAGTTTTATTATTAATTTTATTGTATGAAATTTGGACTAGCCAGCTTGATAAATATATTATGATCTCCGTTATAATATTTCTCCAATACATATTTTGAATTTTAGTTCAAAATATTAAAGTTGAAATAGATACTAATTATTGAAGTAATAAAACCAATGATCTATCCCTAACCTGTTCTTTCAGATCTTCCAATGGTACATTCATTGCCACTGTATCTGAGTCCATCCATCTTGCTGCTGGTCATGCCCTTCCCTTTTCTTCCACCTTTCCCAGCATTAGAGCCTTTTTCAAAGAACTGGGTTTTGCATAATATGGTCTGGAATAGAACAATTTGAGCTCATAAGTTTAAAGTGTCTTGATTCAGTAAGTCATATTTAAATATTAACTGTAGTTTAGGCTTATGTCATAATTCTCAGTTGGGATTAATCCCAAATTAAATGTTACAGTCTCCTTCTAATGGCCTTTCAAAGCTTAACCTAAGCTTATTTCATAGTAATAAATTTATTGTTTGTATCTGAATGCAGCTAAAATGTTAATCTAAAGCTGATTGAAGCTGGGATGCCAGAGCACTAGGGAGTTCCATCTGGATTTGCTGAGACAAAATAGTAGACTCCAGGAAGCAATAATTTAGCTCTTATAAAATGAATTAAATATGATTGTATTTTGTAATTAAATATGGGTCATATTGTTATAATACATGAATTAGTGGTTGATAGTCTATGTGTCTTTGAGGAACAGTAGTATAATGTTAGAGTTTAGTAGAAGTAATTCTCTGCATTTTTTCTGAGTAAAAGAAACCATGTACAAACTTCTAAAACAATTATTTGTCTTCCTGTGCAGTCACTTTCTCACTATGTTTTAAACAAAAAACCAATATCTATTTGAAACAGCATGTTGGTAAAGCAGACAAAATGCAGCAAGAAATTACAGAAATTAAAGCATTGCCAAAGTTACAGCAGGAGACTACTCTTGTTTGAAAAGTAGTCTAGGCAGGACTGCCCACTTTAGCAGGAGTTTTTAGAGCAGGGCTTTTCAATCGGTGGTACGTGTACCACCTGTGGTACTTTGCCATGTGGCAGGTGATACTTGACCATCCCAGAGAAGTGTAGCATGGGAGGGGAATGTGCCGAAGCGACTCAAGCCTGAGGGAGAGGCAGCTGCAGCTGCAGGACTGTCTGGGCTCAGCAGAAGCCCCAGGAGCCAGCAGGACTCCAGCTGATTGGCTCCAGCTGATTGGTGCTTCCAGAAGCAGCACAGAGCTGGAGGTGAACTGAAGAAAAAGGGAGGGAAGGAGAGGAGAGGCTATAAAAGGAGGTGGTTTGGATGGGATAGGGGGGAAAAAGACAACAGGGAAAAAGAAGGGGAGCTCAGCAGGTGGGGAAGAAAAAGAGACAGGGAAGAAGAAGCAGCTGTTGCTGGAAGAAAAGGTCCCCTGGTTCTTTTTCTCCAGCCAGGAAAATGCAATCAGCGCTGAAGCCGGCAGATGAGCATGTTGGAAAGGAGGTGAGTTTATTTAGTTCTGGATCAGCTGGCAGCTTGATTGGGTTACCATAAGAACTTTTGTACAGTTTTTACAGTGTTTTGTAATTCAGAGGCTCGGTTTGTGTGATTTGGTTATTGGAATATTTTAGTCTGTATTTTAGGCTAGCAATGAGTCCAAAGTGTTAACTTCCATAGGTTTAATCCCTTTAAACAAATGTAATTAGTTTTACCCCTTATCTTCAGTCTGTCTATGACTTTTAGAAAGTTTTCTTTGAAGGTAAACAGGCTTAATTTAGGGCTAAAGCTTTTCACAATTGCTGGGGCCTTTCAGTCCCGCAACATTGTGACATGTGACACACCGCAGCTTAAATAAAAAAAATCCCAGAGTTTATGTGTTTCTTTATTTTGTGAGCCTTTCTTGCTTTGCACTTGATTCCTGTGTTTTTAAGGGTATAGGGAAGGGATTGGGAGGGGGGTGCATTCTTACTACTCTGTGGAAAGAGCTCAGAAGGGAGAGAGGAAGAAGGGCTGACCAGCTAGCTCATGGGTCTACAAACTTAGCAACTTTAAGACCTGTGGACTTCAACTCCCAGAATTCCTCAACAAGCCATGATGACTGAAGAATTCTGGGAGCTGAAGTCCACAAGTCTTAAAAGTGCCAAGTTTGAAGACCCCTGAGCTAGCTGGTAGTGGTGCATATGGATAACTATGGATAAACATGGATAAATTCATCATACATTTGTCAGTGCAAAAAGAAAGTGATTCAGCAAAGGATCAGCCATCGAAGAAATTAAAACTTGTACTTTTTCCTTTTTTTCTACAGTTTGTAATATTTTATTAGATTATAGAATAAAATACAAAAATACAAAAGCAAATCGTAGGACATAGTGGGGAGGAAAAAGGGGAAAAACGTGAGTGGGAGAAGAGAAAAACAACAGACTTCCTCTGTTGCAGTAGAAGGAAACATTAACATTGAGCCTCAACTTTTTACTTTTCCATAATATTATAAACTAGCCATTTCTGTAACAACAAATGAATCTAATCAGTAAAACCCAAAATCCCCCCCTTTTTTTAGTCATCAAGTTTTTGACACCTTGCTAAGCACTGGTGGTACTCAAATATTGCCATGTCCTAAAAGTGGTACAATCTGTGAAAAGGTTGAAAAGCCCTGATCTAGACATTAATACTTCAGATAGAACCATATTGTCATGAGCAACAATTCCTAAATGTGCTACTTGACTCATTATGATCTTTACTTTGTTGTAATGTTTTTCCATATGCTGGTAAATGAAGCTTCATTAAAATCAGGCTAGCATGGATTACTTCAGTACCTGGATATCAGACTGTGCAATCTTTTGGGAAATATTGGCAGCAGTAATAGGCAAATTTTTATTTGGAGGAGATTGCTGCTTCTGAGATTCTCCCTAAGGAACACTTTCTAAACAGCTGAGGGGCACTATCTGAAAGTAGCTAATCTATAGAGACAGAATAGATACAAAATCTGAATCCGCACTAGTCTTCACTCTCTACTTTCAAAATACTCTCATGTTTGAAAATACATTTCTATTGAACCAGGAATGTCCATTCTTATTTGATGATACCAACAAGAAGTTACATACAGACCACTATAAAACTTCATGATTGAATTCAATGGCTTAAGTTCAGAATAAAAATATTCTGACTGAAGTAAGGACAGATTTGCCAGAATATCAATGTCCAGACTTTCTTAATCCAAAACTTAGTTGTATTAAGAGTATTAAGTACAACAATGACTGAGGTTCAGCCTGAAAATGCATTACTGGCCCTTTCATTTTCAAGTTTGTTATGCAATGCTAGTGTTGCTCAAGGAACAACTTCCTAACTGCCAAGAAAAGCTGATCATTTCACCATTGTCTTCCTTGACTTAGTGCCAAGAGTGCAGAGTAACTGCAAAATTGCCAACTAGCTAGAATCAGAGATTTGCACATTTTTGAAATTAAAAAATGAAATTATTAACACTAAATTAGCAAAGAAACTCTCACCCTGACTATCTGGACATAACCAAGCATTAGTACTGAAGTGTTTTGCCATTGCTTTCTTCTAAGATGCATTTCAAATTTCTAGATTAACCTAAAGTCCTGGGGCTAAATTTGCTGAGCCCCTCCCATCTAGAACTGATGGTTTTCAGCCCAAATGGTTTTCAGCCCAAATTTGCTGAGCCCCTCCCATCCAGAACTGATCAGCCCAAATGATATTAACCGTATATTTTTGTCATCTGCAGGGACAAGATAACACTTCCTCAAGCCAAATGTAACTCCTGGAAACTCTTGGCACCAGGGTAAAAATGGTTTGTCACTCCTGCTATTTGGGAAAAAGGATGGGTGGATGGATGGATGGATGGATGGATGGATGGCCTATTTTGGAGTTGGGGGAAATCTCTTAACCTTCCCTAAATTGATGCCTTCCAGATGTGAAACTGAAATCTTTAGAGTGTTTCTCAGCTCTTGCATCTTTTAAGACGGGTGTCAAACTCGCAATGTGATGTGATGTGTCGCTAAGTATCGTGACTTTTTTGCCATTGCCAGCAATAGGGTGGGTGCAGTTTCACTATGATGCATCCAGCCCATGGGCTGGCAGTTTAACACCCCTGTTTTAAGATATATGGAGTTCAGTTCCTGGCTGGGGAATTCTGGAAGTTGAAATCCACATGTCTTAAAGTTGGTCAGGTTGAGAAACACTGCTTTAGAGTGAAGTCTGAGGAAACAAAAGATTCTAAAATGTTTGATCAGCAGTTAAATAAAACAGAACTGAAGGGGACTTTTACAGATTATTAGAAAAAAGGGGGAGAAGTAAAACATAGGTAGATTTTCAAAGTATCAGTTCATCTCATCTGCCTTTGTCATTATTTCACTTCTTCTGAGAAAGCAAAATCCCAATACCTCTTTTTTTAAGCACTAGCTATTAAAATAGGTAGAAAAAGCAAGTTATAATTTTCCATTGAGAGAGCTCCATGCTGTAGTGAATCACTTCGCTTATTCACATTCAATTTGTCTAGATAATAAAACGTGTGGAGATTTTGACACTAGTAATCTCTCCAATATTTGGCATATGGTCTTTCTTTCAAAATAGCTGATAAATTGTTCAGTTTATGTGAAAGAAGGGAAAAATTCTTAAATACATGTGGAGTAACTATAATCAGCATATTTAAATCAATTAATTTAATATATTTTGTCTTGATCCTACCAGTTTATGTAAACCAACCAGCCTTATAAAGGCCAAATGCCTTCTGCCTGGAAAAACATGTGCAAACTTGCTCTAAATAGTTCCTTGTAGTCAAAGGTTATTCCTTAAGTAGAATGGGACTCTATATATAAAGTTTATAATCCTTTTCATACTTATCTGAGCTCTTTTAGTTTTTTTTATTGAAAAGTTTTATACAGTATACAATATCCCAAAACCCACCCACCCCTAACCCTCCCCCCACTTCCCAGAGCTGAGTACAGGGTTACAAATTAATAATCAAATTCTAATTAACATTACCCAACTATATAAGTAACCAAATCCATAAAATACTTTAACTCACATTTAAGATAAATATAAGCAAATTAAAACAAAAAGAATAATATAAACAAGTCAATATTAATTAAACCATAGTAATACCAAATCTAAAATGAGTTATTATACTATCAATACTAATCTGAAATTTACTCATAAACTAGATGAAACATTTTAATCCCATATTTATTCTGAATATAATCTATCCATCTTCTCCAAACCAAAATATATCTTTCTTGTGTATGATCCTTCAAATAGGCAGAAATTTTTGCCATTTCTGCTAAATTTGACACCTTAAACGTCCATTCTTCTATAGTAGGCAAGGACTCTTTCTTCTAATATTGCCCTACCAATAACCTTGCTGCATACTTATCTGAGCTCTTAATGGTGTTTTAGAACTTGTTATATTCTTTGGGTTTGATTTATTGGGATTTTAAGTTTGTTTATAATCTAGCCTGGGAATCTATTTTCAAAACCAGTCTTTTAAATATAATAAAATAAATAATACCCATACACAGGTAGTAGTATCTGGCTTCACATTTCATTAAAGTTGCTTATCTGTGAACAGGGCCAAGCAGATTTTCTCATTAGCCACTTTATATTTTTTGTCATAAATTTATTCAGGGAAATGCCTCATGGACTTGCAGTCTTTTCTTAAAATACATTCATGCCTGACCTATTTCTCTTCCCAGGCATTGCAGTAACTGTTAAACATGCTGGGTTTTCATAGTTCAATGGAAAGCACTACGATTTATTGTTCCCCCACCCCCTTTTGTCTTTTGCTGTGAATTGCAGCCATTCTGTTTTATTTATGGGTTGGGAGAGTGATCCTTCCAAAACCTCACAAACTTCTTTTTCCTAGAGTATGTAAAAAACCCTGTGCCAATCTGAAATACAGGTAGGCCACCACATGGAGATGATTTTAATGAGCAATTCCATTCTGAAATTGATAAGCCAAATTCCCTCATTAGAAAAAGGAGCTTCTTTTTCAGATTTTTGCCAGCTCTTTAATATAGGCCCGTGATGGGCATGCATGCCACAGGCGGCATGCAGAGCCGTCCCTGTGGGCACGCGCACCATTGCCCTGGAGGGAGGTGGGCCCAGACTGCTCCCTTCCACCTCTCCACGTGTGCCTGGGCTCTCGGCTCTCTTTCTCTCTGCACTGAAAGCCAGGGAGCAACTGCAAGAGCTGGGCGGATCCGGGCTGGATGGTGGAGGCAGCTGCCAGCATGAGTCCAGGTAAGCCTCCGGAGCAATTTTTGCAGCACCCCAGTGGCCAGATTTGGGCTCTGGAGGCCTGGAAAAGGCCTCTTGTCACCTGGATTGGCTGTGGGGGGACGCAAAATCCCCCATATGCTATGTGGATCGCCCTGCCACCGCCATTCCCCCCTAATAGCCATGCAGATCATGCTGCCGCCACCGTTCCCCTGCCATGTGGATCGCATGCTGCCCTCCCACCCACCGCATTTTCCAGGCCTCTGGCGCCCGGATTGGGCAGCTGGAGGGCCATAAAATTGCTCCATGGCCATGGATACAAGCTCCAGAGTCTTCAAAAATGCTTCTGCCACCCAGATTGGCCGGGGGGGAGTGAAATCGCTCTGCAGCCCTAAATCTGGGCGGCAGAAGCGGCAGAGAGAAAGAGAGATTGAGCCAGCAGGAAAGCAAAAGTGTCGGGAAAGGAAAGCGTTGCAGAGGAAGCAAACTTACAAAAAGGGGATCTCTCTCTCTGTCTCACACACACACTTCCCCATCCCCTTTAATATCATGTCTTCCCCCACCCCATTTAATATGTCTTCCCCCACCCGTTTTAATATCATCTCTTCCCCGGGTGGTTTAGCGTTGGTGATGGCGGCTTTGTAACCGTCCTCCTGCGAAAGCGTGAGAACTGCAAAGAACAGCAGGCACCAGCTGTTCCGCGGCTCAAAATCTCCCTCCCAGGCAAAGGGGGGGAGGGGAGTATCACCTGAATAGAGGTAGAGCCTCTTGGATCCCCCAGGAAGTTTTCTTTGGGAGGTGAAAAGAGAGCTCCCTCGGAGTTCGGGTTGCCTCTGCCTCCCAGCTTCTTTGTCCCTCGGGAACAAAGCAAGACGCCGCTCCCACCTCCGTGCTTAAAGAGACCGGGTGAGTTACTTTTAAAAGCGGACAGAGTTGGATAAAGGATTTTTTTATTGGATTTTACTTGGACTTTAGTTTGAAAGGTTGATTTTTATTTCCCTTCTTTTTTCTCTTTTTTTTGTGAGAGTGAAAGTAAAATGGCGATTGGAAAGTGAGTGAAACGGAATGCAATGGACTAGATTGTTCCTTTTTTAAAACTTTTTCTCAAGGTGGATTTGTGTTTTGGGAAGATTTTTTTTTTTTTTTGTTAAACTCTCCTTTGCCATTTTTTTGTTTTTTTAAGGGATTTTTTTTGTATTTTTTATTTTTTTTCAAAGAAGGAGGAAAGAAGAAACAAAACTTTTTCTTTTTAAAAATGGCTTCAAAGCGGCAAGCAACATCTACAGTACCTAAGGTGGCTTCTTCTGCGATTTTACCAGCACAACAACCTAAAGCTACACCACCACCCTCTCCCCCTTTGCAGCAGTAACGGTAAAAGATATGCAAGACATAATGGGAAATGCTGTATCTCAAATCAGAGGTGAAGTGAAAGAGCTTTTAGTGGAGAATAATATTATTTTGAGGCAAGATATAGTTATGGCTTTAACAGGACTTGCTTCTGTGGTTGAGAAGTTGGACTCTAGAGTGGAAGAAGTAGCAGACAAGGTGGAGATTTTGGAAGATAAATTTGAAGGCATGGAAAAAAAGATGGAAATTTCACAAGATGATATTGTTATGTCTCAGTACAGAGGAATGGAATATGCTTTAAGAATCAGAGGCCTGAAAGAAGACATGCAACAAGACTTGAGAGAGATTGTAGTAAATGACTTTGCTGCTATTCTGGATAGAGAGAAGGAGGAAATATTCAGAGAAATGAAAAAATATTCAGAGTTAACTCTTGGGTTGCAAAGCAAAGAAACCTGCCAAGAGATGTGGTAATTTATTTTGGGAAGAGATCTCTGCATAATGAAATTATACAAGCTTTTTATAACAAGAGGTTTCAGATTGCTGCTCAAGATGTCATTATTTTAAAGGAGATTCCATCCAAAATTTTAAGAAAGAGAAAAGAGTTTGCTTTCTTAGCCAATGAACTTAAAAAAAGATTGATGCCATTCAGATGGGAGATTCTGATGGGTATCATAGTGAGTCATGCGGGGACGTGTTATAGACTTAACACTGTTTCTAAAGCAAAGGAGTTTTATAAGTCGGTCCTGGGAGCAGGCTCATCACCACCTATGATGCAGAAAGTCTTGGATGGCAAGGAGGTGGAACAGCAGTCTGAAGAAGTAGTATTGATGGATGTTGGAAAATCACAGGTTGAGTGGTTGCAACAAGCAGAGATCAAAGAGCAAAGAATGACTCGGGCAGCCCATAGACGTAAGGAAAAGGAACAACAGAAGAAAGAAGTTAAAGAAGTTCTACAAGAATTTGTTTCGGTGCCTGTGGGAGGAGCAAGACCCAAGAGCTCTGCAACACATTCTTCAATGGCAGATCTTCTCCAGGCTTTTGGTCAAGGGAGATGGTAAAGCTCCTGACATGGAATGCTAATGGTCTTAATTCCCCCCAAAAGAGAAAGAAAATTTTTCATTATTTAAAGCAACACAACAATGATATTATTTGCCTGCAGGAAACACACATTATATCTAAAGATCAAAAATATTTAGTTAATGCTCGTTTGGGATCTCATTT